TACAAAATTAGCTGGGTATGGTGGTGCGTACCTGTAGTCCCAGCTGCTCAGGAGGCTGAGAACCATCGTTTGAGCTTAGGACTCCACTCCAGACTGGGCAACACTGAGTAAACTCTGTCTCTTAAAAAAAAAAAAAAAAAAAAAAAAAGCAAAGAAAAGAAATCTTAGCAACTCTGGACCAGCAAGAAAAAAAAACTTTTGTCGACATTTTTATAAGAAAACAAAAAGGAACACAAATTAGCCTATGCATTTATTTTAAGGCAAACAGAATAAAAGAAGACTCTTGACAACGACTGCAACTAATTTTTATTTTGTAAAACCTGAAAAGTGAATTTTATAAGTCTTCTAGCTTACAAGATACATTTAAAAAATGTAGTTCATCGTTTTTGTGTTTGTTCTTATTTTGCTAATCATCCAGCAGGACTTTTTTTTTTTTCTTTAAAGGAGTTGCAACAGGGAAGTTAGGTTTTAGGATTTTTCTGCAGTGAATTCATTGCCCTCAGCCTTTCTTCATTTTGAATCCCCAGACTACATGTCACCTCTGTTTTAATTTTGAAAAAGGAAAAGAAATGAGGTAAGAAGAAAGAGGATAAAGAACACCTAGAACACAAACTGACACTTGATTGCAAAAAAGGAACCAGTACTTACAGTACATGGTAAGAATCCAGTTACCTGTAAGAACCTCGGGTTTAACCACTGGGATTTGTATTCAGTCAATACTTAAAAATAAATCTTAATCTACAATTTTCCTATTTTCTTCCTTACCGTGGTATTATACAAGGCATGGGGGTGGAGTTTTGCCTCTGCGCATCAGCAGGTGTGCCTCCTGGAGAACGCAATCCTCCACTAGCTACTGTGGAATCGACTCAAGAGTTGATTTTTGTTTTTTGTTTTGGCTGGGGCTGGGTTTGAACCCGCCACCTCCGGCATATGGGACCAGTGTCGTACCCTTTTGAGCCACAAGCGCCACCGAGGAGTTGATTTTTGAATAGACCTTTTTTTCCAGGTAGTTGACTTTTTCAACACATATAAGAAGTTTGATAACTGCCATTTCATTTGTTTTCCTCATGCTTTTTGTTTTGTAGAAAATCAAGTTCTGACCTTCCCTTTATTTGAACCCAGATATCGATTTCTATCATCTCATCCTCTGCACACCAGACCCCATTACAAATGGGGAGCTCCCCAGAAATTCTGCCAGTTTCCAACAAGAATAGAGCATGTATTTCCACAGCAAAGCCAACTCACAGTTACCAGGTCCCCCAAGTGCCTCCACTCCAGACAACTGCTGCAACCCAGAACCCATCAAATAGTACGGGCTCGCGTGGACAGATGAAAAACCCATTAGGAAGTACGGCCAACTCTGTGTTCCCATGTTTCCAGGAAAGAAACCACATTTAGTGTCGGTGCAGTGCAAAATCACTAGGGTCTGCGGCCTTTAACTCAACTGAATGTCTAACCTCTTTCAAGATATCACATGACTAGACCCTTTCTGGTTAGCTAAAGATGTGCCTTCCAGAATAGCACATGGGTTAGGGCCAGACCAAAACCCAAGCCCACCAGCCACATCATGTGCTTTTCCTTAGCTCTAATTTTTCTCAGCTGGAAAAGTGTTATACAAACAACTGACATATAAGAATACAACTATTACAAAGTAACTTATATGCAAAATATGATTATTCCTCAATAAAGGAGAAAGTACAATTGTGAGGCTTAAAAGCTATTTGTAAGGAATAACTCGTTAGTCAGCCTTTTTCTAAATTAACTCTGCATGTCTTATTTTTGTGTGGCAGCAAAACGTACTTACCTTCTTGGATCACAATGACAGGAAGGACAGCACCCTCTGAGGCAGGAACATTGTCTCCCCTGCCTTGCAGGGCCCTGGGCCACTCCTGCCCCCTGCTGGCCGGGCTAGCGCACACCCACTGAAGGAGGAGGGACGAGTAAACAGTCTGCAGGGAAGGGGCCTTGCCTCTGCCGCTGGGTTTTCTTTCTTTGTGCGTATTTTAGGATCTTTTTGGCCACTATGTTTCCACCAAAGCTTGGACCCCATTTGGTTTATCCACAAATTAGGATCGTTCAGCTCTTCTCAAATTTACTTTGAGGGTGATCTGAAGGTAATGTCTAGCTGAAATATTTAACCAAAAATGTCCTTAATTGAGCCAGGCACGGTGGCTCAGGCTTGTAATCCCAGCACTCTGGGAGGTTGAGGTGGGTGGATTGCCTGAGCTCAGGAGTTTGAGACCAGCCCAAGCAAGAGTGAGACCCTGTCTCCACTAAAAATAGAAAAGTTAGCCAGTTGTGGTGGTACACGCCTATAGTCCCAGCTGGGAGGCTGAGGTAAAAGGATCAGTTGAGCACAACAGTTTGAGATTGCTGTGAGCTGTGATGCTACAGCACTCTACAGAGGGTGAGAGAGTGAGACTCTGTCTCAAAAAAAACCCAAATCAAATTTGCTTAATTATATACATGGGGAAGTGTGAGAGGTGTAAGCTCACCACTTACAACCTAGACAGAGACCCCACTCTGGGAAGGACACCAGCTCCTGGGATATATGCTTTCCTATACCCAAAGCAGCTCACACAGCAGGGGGGACCACAATTTGACTAGCGCTGCCTTTTTTTTTCATTATTATTCATGTCAAAATTTTCAAACTCTGAGGCGGGGACATTTTCAAATTTATCTGTGGGTAAATTGCTTAAGCTAGTGATTTTTGGGGTACACGCAGCAGTGAAAACATATGCGCACTTCTAGAGGGGACAGAATTGATGTTGGTGAATGAAGATGTCACAGGAGAAAATGTGGCTGACTGGGGACCACTTCTGCAGGCATTTGAGGAGTGTGAGCCCAGATAGTAATTTCTGAAGCTGTGCCATCCCCCTTGGGAGCTGCCCAGGATACCAGCAGCAGCCTACCTGGTCTCCTGCAGTGCTGGGGTCTATGTTGGTGAGAGGGGCTGCAACCCAGAAGATCATCACCTCCAGGAGCCCTGGGGGTCTTCTCCCAGGGTCTGCAGCTGGGCAGCTCACTCTGGCGATCAGAGTTCACACTTTTTATCCAATGATCAACTGCTTAGATCTGAAGTGACATAAACTCCTAAACTCTTTAGATAAAAATAGTCCCAGTAATTCCAGAAAGGGGTAATAGCCTCCTCTCCGCTCACACAACTAAAGAATGTGTTATTTTACAAAGTAGGTTTTGAATTTTGTTCCCTCCTATCCCGGTTCCTTTATCCTTCAGGTTATATACCACAAAATGTATGTCATGTGTATTTTTCTTCTCATAGTCTCATACTGATAGTCTCATATCAATATTTTGAAAAAACTACTAGACACAATGCTTCTGCTTTTGCCACCTTAATAAAATGAACTTCTGCACATACGTAGGACATAACTGCATTACTATATACAACCTGACCCTCTCACCTTTTTCCTTATCTCCGAACTAAAATTTTGCTAGCACAGAGTAGGGTTGTTCATTGTTTCCTAAACACCAAACTTATTCTCCCATCTGGGCTATCCTGCCCTTTCTCTAGGATCTCCCCACCTCGGTGCCCACAATGCTCTCCACTTTCTTCAGAGTTCTTCTTCCCCCGGGCCCTGAAACTTTCTTTGACACAGAGGTCCGCCCTCTTCTTTGCAAGCTGTCTGGGATTACTCCCTCTGGCATAGCAAGTGGAAACCTAGAAAATTGACTACGTTGAACTATTTTTAACCCACAAAAATAGTAGTCACAGACGGTTCAATTTAATACACGCATTATCGTACCCCCCAGACAAAGTCTCTTTGTATTCCTAGTATCTGCAGAGCTCCTTACATTGTGTAGGTGTTTCCTACTAAAAAAAAAAAAAGAAGAAAAGACCTGGCTATCCTTAAATTGGTAAAATAGTACATAAACTTCCATTTTAACCTGAAGATGATCCTAATCCACTAATATATTTCCTATGGATGATTTGGGATGACTCTGCAAAAATATTCTAAAACTTTAAAATATGAATGTAAATAGGAAATGTAACTATAAAACTTTAAGGTACTCAAAGTTATGAGTTTAGGCATTGAATGTAAATATCATAGGCTTCTAATAGATTCTAAATATTGAAGAGGTCATTCATAGAATGTTTATCAGTAAATTCTACATTCACGAAAACATATTTCATATTTATTACATAATTAATGCTACAACCCATTTAGAAAAGGACATTGAAATATTACATTTTTGAATACATTAGATAGATTCCTCCGTCCCTCTTCTTATTGTGGCCTTAATTCACCACATGATTATATTAATTACCATTGGATAACTGAAACTGGATGGGAAAAAAATCTAGTGAGAAAGCATACATGTTTTTAAAGCTAAGAGATTTATAAGGTATTTGATTATGAAGTGCAAGGCCTTATGGCTTTCTAGATTAAAAACATCTAAAACAGCATGTTAACTGTTAAACTGAATTCAGGATCCTAAGGGCAGGAGGCAAGAATGAGGCTCAAGGTCCGGGCTGGGGATTCGAACCCGCCACCTTAGGTGTAGGTGGCTGGCGCCTTAGCCGCTTGAGCCACAGGCGCCGAGCCCAGATTTCTTTTTTGTGATTCCACTTCTTACAGCCACGTCTTCTTGAGCTGAGGACTCATGTCTTTAGAACTTGACCCCAGATGAACCTGTAATGTTTTATAATAACCCTTTCATTCATGTGATTTCCGAACACACAAAAGACTGCATGAAGCCATGTAAGGATCTATTTTAGGGGAAAAAACTAGAATGAGCTTCATATTAGTTGATTCAGACTTGCCACTTCAGAGCAACTAAAAGACACTCTAACATTGGTTCCTATTTCTTTCTAATCTTGAGATTTACATGAACTGCTGATCTACTTGCTATGTTAAGGCCAGAAACACAGAAATAGGTCAAATTTCTTTCACTGACGGTAGAAAGCCCACCTCAACCCCCAAGTTCTTTCACTGTCTTGAGATAGCATTATGGGACATTTTAAAGTACGAGACTTTTTTTTAAAGATCTTCTTCCTTTATGGTCTGGAAAACACAGTCATCGTCAGCCATCTTAATCTTGCTTGCTCTTGGCAGAAAACTAGAATAGTCTTTCTGCTGCAAAGTAAACAGAGGTTGGAAATGTAAACAAAAGGAAATGATTTCCACCACAATAACAATAAAACAATTCAAGGAGGTTAAAACTCTATTCACAGAAGGTAATGTTTCTTTAAGCAATGGTTATTTTAAGTGGTTTGCTCCAGTAGAAACTTGATTTAGGGGTAGGTGTGGGTACACCTGTTAGGGTGAGGAGGGCACCCCCTGCTGGTTTGCTGAGGTAGACATGTCAGTCTTTCTGGACTCTGGAATGTCACACCGGTTGCATTTAACTTGGCCTATCTTGTCCTTTTCTCCTCCCTTAAAGACTTTCCATTTTTAACTTCGTGTAACTTTTTAAGTTTTGGTGTACACTCAACCCAAATACAAACTTTCCAAAGGTGTTATACTTATTTTAAGGCATTTTAAGAAGTCATGGCTACCCCAAACCTTTAGTGAGCAGTGTGTGTCTTCAATATTTATGAAATTTCAAAGATAGGGACATAGAGAGTAGAGGGTGAAAAGAAAGAAAAAAAAAATGTGGGCACCTCGATGGGCAGATAGACCCCAAATTTTTCTGTACAAGGGATTTGTCTTGGTAGAGAGGCCCCATCACGGAGTGGCTCAAGGAACAAACAAATGTTGTTTGTAAACAACAAATAAAGACTGCTCGGGTTTGAATACCTCTTCCGCTGTCTTACTGGCTGTGTGACTTTGGGCAAGTTACTTAACCTTTCTGTGTTTCAGTTCCCTACCCTATAAAGGATAAAAATAATACCTAGGTTATTACGGGGATTAAATGAATTATATATGGAAAGTAATTATAGCAGTGCTTGGTTCAGGACAGGCTCTATATGAAGGATTGCCAAATAAATTGATATTCAATATAGTTGGACACCAGGTCCCCTTTTGACATGGTGGTCCTGCTTAGAGCATGAGGTGGTTGTGTGTCGGTTTTAGTCACTGCTCACCAGAGAGGACAACTGACTCGTTCACTGTTGTGCCGTGTGTTGTGTTGTCTGTTGTTCTAACACAGTGGCTCTCAAACTTGAAAATACATCAGACTCATCCTGAGGGTTTGATTAAACAGGGATTTCCAGATCCCTCTGATCCAGTAGGTTTGGGGCCTGGGAGTTTGAATTTCTTTTTTCATTGTCTTTTGGTGGTGTTGCTTTTCAGACCTAATCTCTAGTAATGGTGCTGATACTGCTGGTCTAGGGACCACACATTAAGAACCACTATTCCAGGATAATGGTTCCAATCCTGAGTATATATTAGAACCTCTTGGGCAGCCTTTAAAAATTTGATTACCCAGGCCCCTCAGACCAATTAAATCCATCTCCGAGGGTACACAGCCATCAGGTTTCAGAGCTCCCCAGCTGATTCCAATGTGCAGCCACGGCTGAGAATCACAGCTCTGCTGCTGTACCCTGCCAACATGGATGGGTTTAAATGATGAAGCAATTATCATATGCGTAAAGAAATTGAAGCGTGGGCAGTGTCTCACTGGGGTGCTTGTTATGAATGCTGATATTTCCCAAGCTCCCTCTCCAGATCTACTGTGTCAATTTTAGGGGATGAGGCCCAGGATCTGTCTTTCCAGAAGCAGCTCAGTAGTCCCTAGTGCACACTTAGCTTTTTGATCTGCCTAAAGACACAGTAGGTGGTGGAGTTTCTGTCTCCTAACCAGCCAGAAATGCTGTTATTATAATAGAAAGAGAAACCTTTGCACTTAACTTTTACTTGTCCCCCTGAGCTTATTCACTCAGGAAAGGAATAAGCTTTTCTACTTTTTCTACCTTTTCTACTTAACATATATGTAAACACTGTACTTAATACTAAGGACCTTTATATATACAGCAGACGTTGTGACAGGTGCTGAATCAATAACAAATCCCATTGGAATGCTCCTTAGACATCAACTTTATTTAATTCACCCACACTAGGTCTTGGCCATAGAAAGGAAGAGTTGGCCAGGCAGGGAAGGGCATGGTTCTGTGGTCAGACTGCCTCTTTCCTTCCACTATTGATTACTGTGCAACTTTGGGCAAGTCACTTCACTTCTCTGTGCCCTAGTTTCCTAAACTTACAGGATTAGGGAGGAAGGTGTTAATTCACATAAAAGTGCTTGGAACAGTGTGTGGCAAAAATAAGGGCACACATTTTTTCTATTATTAACTGTACAGATCTAAGTGCTCAAAAAATTATCTTATAAACTTAAAAGTTGTCTTGTACAGAGCACACTGCAGGAAAACTTTGAAACTAAAACACGGTATGCTAAAATACACGAACTAGAAAGAGACCTTTTCCTCCAAAATGCATGAGGTAGAGAAGAAAATCACCAATGAGTTTTGTGTTCCTCTGGGATATTTTCTATGCAAAAATTGTCTTATCCCTGCCGGGGGCGACAAACAAAAAGCTATACTTTATGTCAGCCCTCCAATTGGCCCCACCTACAGAGAAGAACTTCTGAGAAATAGAATTCTGGCTGATTCCTGGAAGTTTAATGGCTCTGGTTAAAGGGCAAAAAAGGGCAGATTTACCAAAATTACATGTATTGATTACATAATTTTACTCACAGACCTGGCTTGGCTGAATGCGGTATTTGTTACTTTTGCCTTGTTCTGGGACTTCAATCTGCTAAATAGATTAGTGAAATGTCAGTCAGCACCGCCCAGAGAAGCAAGCAACAAACAACCTATTTAACGAGCACATTTCCCCTTCCACTATAATCCTCTTAATGGTCCCACAGGCTGCCAGGCAGCAGGTATTCCGATCTGTCATCTGCGCCTTTCTCCTTCACTCGCCAGAGTCTAAATGTTACAGAAATGGCGTCCCCGAAAGTTAAACGATCTTTGACGTTTAACATTAGTGGTTGCCTACGGGTTTTGTGATTTAAGAAAGCTTTTAAAATAACTTCACATGAGATGAAATGTACTTCTAAATTCTGAAATAATCCACGGAGCGCCAATCCACATGCTGAATCAAAGCCAAATGGGACTTTGGTTAATCAAAAGGCACCATTAATCAAATGAAGAATCAAAGTGAAGTTCAAGACACTTGAATATACTTTATGTACATAAGGTGGACTTAATATACCAGTCAGGGTCCCAGCAGGAAACAGATGGTGCATTCTCCAGGGTTAGTGGGGAGAATTTTAGAAAGGAATTATTTAACTATTTAATGGAGGTGGGGACAGGATTAAAGCAAATCAATGAAGGGATGCTGGGGCCCCCAAGGGCTGGCAATGATGAGGGTTGGGGGGCAATTTCTTACCACCCCTAGGCCTGCAGGGGCAAGGGGAACAGCTGTTATAGGAACCTGAGAGCAGCTGTGGCTATAAGGAGGCAAGGTTGCCTGACAGGAGCTGCAGCCTCCAGGGGAGGGCTACATCAACCCTGCAAGGTTGCAGGTGGAGAAATCCAGACCCAAGCTCCCTTCCCCCTCACCCTCCAGCCTTCTGCTGGGCTTCCCAAGGAGTCACCTTCTACACAGCAAGGTCACAGAGCAAGGTGGGGAGTGATTCTGGAGGGACACCTCTAGTAAATGTGACCTAGCCAGGGCTTCGGGGAAAGAGTTTTAGAATTTTCTTAATTGGAAAGAAAAGAACCATTAAACAACTGTGCAGTTTGTGCGTATCTCAAACAGGGCACAGTGCTTAGACCTGGATAATTACAAATGTCTCTGTACTAATCGCCTTCCCCGGCAACAAGTAAGCTCTGAGACAGAATAAAGGGGTGAATTAAGTTGTTCGTTATTGCTTACTATAGAATCGGACATTTCAAAATAAGTGGGTTAAATAACTGCAAATGAGCATTACCTTGTAACTGCACTTAACAGAATGTGCCAGTAATCAGTAAGGATGCCATGATTAACTTTGTTGTAAAATAAGTTGCTTTAAATAGGTATGCATGAGACTTTCTTTTGGTTAGTTTTTTTGTTTGTTTGTTTGTTTGTTTGTTTTTGAGACAGAGTTTCACTTTGTCACCCTGGGTTGAGTCCTGTGGTTTCACAGCTCACAGCAACCTCAAACTCTTGGGCTCAAGCAACCCTCTCACATCAGCCACCCGAGTACTTGGGACTGCAGGCACCTGTCACAGTGCTCGTCTAGTTGTTTTTAGAGATGGGGTCTGACTCTTGTTCAGGCTGGTCTCCAACTCCTAAGCTCAGGCAATCCACCTGCCTCCCAGAGTGCTAGGATTATAGGTGTGAGCCATTGTGCCTGGCTTCTGTTAGTATTCTTAATAGAAATGTTTATGTATCTTATCTCAATAATTTTTAAAAAATCAGTCAGGTCACAGAAATGAGAAATTAAAGCTCTGATGTCTTAAGTGTTTTGTTACTATTATTATTTTACAATATTACATTATAGTTTGTAAATGATCTTGTGCCATGAAATACAGAACTTGGGGGGATCATTTAACATTTTTCTCTCTTCTTCTTCTTCCCTTCCCCCTCCCTATGTCCAAGGAAATAAAATCATAAGCAGTTTCTGATATTATCAATTTCTCTGACTTAAATTCTTTATATACTAGGGGGAATAGAGTTGAGGAAAAAAGTGAATCTATTTTAATAATGCAATATTCCTGTATTTTCTCTTTCATCAATAGATTAGCTACTGTTAATAATATAAACAGCTGTGCACAGTGGCTCATGCCTGTAATCCTAGCATTCTGGGAGGCCAAGGCGGGTGGATGAGCTCAGGAGTTCGAGACCAGCCTGAGTAAGAGCGAGACCCTGTCTCTTCCCAAAATAGAAAAACACCTAGCCTAGCATTGTGGTCCTGGCCTGTTATCCCAGCTACCCAGCAGGTTAGGAAAGAGGACTGCTTCAGCCCAAGAGTTTGAGGTTGCTGTGAGTTATGACCCCACAGCACTCTATTAAGGATGTTTCAAAAAATAATATAATCACTTATTTCTATGCAGCAATTTCTCTCTAAAATTTTGTCCTCTAGCTATACTCAGACCATTCTCATGACTGTTGTTTATAGTTTTTCCATTTTATGGACTGGGCCAGCTCTTCAAAAGGCTACCATTCCTAGGACATCAAATATTACAACTTTCCTTTATAAATCAATAAAGAAGTGCAAGGTGAGAATTGTGGTATGGGCCTAAAACTCTGTAAAGGCACGGACCTAGCTAAAAATGATGATGATAATTAGCCACTGTACCCTTTGTTGCTTCTCTGTAACTGCTACTCTGGAGTCACATAGCTGGTGGGCATAATGATCCTTGACTTTCTCCATAGAAAATATCACCTTTTTGAAATATAAGGGTAGCTTCTGAGATATCTTCCAGGCCCTGCATTCCAGTAGGTTGGCTGACCCACTCAGATCATTGACCCATACCAAGAAACAGATTCAACTAGAATTGTGACCCAAACTAGGAACTGACTCAACACAAAATGATAATTTCTTCTATATTTCTCCTATAATTTTGCCCCAAATCTAACCCATTAAGAAACCCAGTTGCCTAATCCTTTGCCCACCAAGCTATCTTTAAAAGCTCTGTCTCCTGGCTCACTGCCCGTAGCACAATGGTTGCGGCGCCAGCTACATACACCAAGGGTGGTGGGTTTGAGCCTGGCCCGGGCCTGCTAAAACAACAATGGCAACTGCAACAAAAAATAGATGGGCACTGTGGTGGGCACCTGTAGTCCCAGATACCTGGGAGGCTGAGGCAAGAGAATCACTTAAGCCCAAGAGTTTGAGGTTGCTGTGAGCTGTGACACCAAGGCACTCTACTGAGGGCAACATAGTAAGACTCTGTCTCAAAAAAAAACAAAATTTCTGTCTCCCAAATTCTTGGGGAGGAAGATTTGAAGAATTCTTCTTATCTCCCCCACTTAGCACTGTGCAGAATTAAACCCTTTATCCATCACAACCCTGACTGCCTCAGTGTATGGCTCTTTTCTATGCAGCAGGGAATACAATCCATTTGGATGACAACAGTACAAATGCCTTTGATGTTTCTCCTCCTCACCATATAATAGAAACACATTTAAAAGTGCCAGTGCCTTTTAAATAGTCTGACCTTGCCTCATATAAAAGAAAAATGGAGGAAAAAATACATATGGAAATGGTAGCTGGGGATGAAGTCAGAGGTATAAGGTAAGCAGAAATTAGAAAGCCATCTCACTTTTTGCCATTTTTGAGAAAACTAATTTGGAGGTCAGACCTACTTTCAGGAAAATTGAAGGAAAAAATATACAAATAACTATAGATCAATATAAATATAAGTTGCTTTTTTTTTTTGAGACAGAGCCTCAAGCTATCCCCCTGGGTAGAGTGCCGTGACATCACAGCTCACAGCAACCTCAAACTCCTGGGCTCAAGCAAGTCTCCTGCCTCAGCCTCCCAAGTAGCTGGGACCACAGGCATCCGCCACAACACCCAGATATTTTTCTGTTCGGTTGCAGCCGTCCTTGTTGTTTGGAGGCCCAGACTGGATTCGAACCTGCCACCTTAGGTGTATGTGGCTTTTGCCTTAGTCACTTGAGCTACACGCGCCAAGCCTAAGTTGCTTTTTAATTCAGAAAATTATTAACCAGCGTATTCCTGAAGTACCTTTCATGTATTCAGATTATGGTTTAATAAACAGAATAATGCACTTTCAGAAATTCCTTAGAAACATCAATTGCATAAAATACATCTACTTTCTTTTATTGTTGTCTTTTAAATGTCTTTAAATGACAGAGATTGTTGGTATCTACTCCATTATCCATTTTGGCCTTCTTCCTTAGTAATAATACATAATCTTATTTGTACAGAAAACATGCCCTGCTAACAGTCTATAATTACCAGACTCCCTTGCAGCTAGGTGTGGGCCTGTGAGTTGTAGGCAGAAATTTGTGTGAGACTTCTGAGATTCCTCCTTAAGGAAAAGAAATGAACCCTTCATTGTGTCTTCTTCATACTTGCTGCCTAGAATGTGGATATAATGGTGGGTGTTCCAGCAGCCATTTTGGACAAGTCCTACATTGAAAATGGCATAGCCGAAAGGTCTCTGGTGATATTATGGAGCCACCATACCAGCACTAGAATGCATACCTCTGGACTTCTTTGAGGGAGATACAAATTTCCTTTTTGTCTAAGACACTTATTTTCTCTTGTTTTGTTTTCTGTCATACATAGCTAAATGTAATCCTAGCCAGTATACTTTATTTTAAAATAAAACATCACTTTTATAATTCTGTTCTAGTTAAAAGAAGCAAATATTTACAAAACTGATTCAGGCTTCTGTATAGAGGCAAAACTTCAAGAAAAATATTATGCTTATTTTTCTTCTAGTTTATAGTTAATAATTGCACTTAAGAATTTGATGTGATATTTTTGTCATGATTGTATGTTTACATTATTCTTTAGTGCATTTGTTTGATTCAAATTTTAATGATTTCTTCATAAACAATTTAAGTCTTAACTTTCAAAACATTGCCTAAAGCTAATGAAGCTAATTAACATTACATTAGCAATAAATTTCTTTCTTTTTTTTTTTTTTGGCTGGGGCTGGGTTTGAACCCACCACCTCTGGCATATGGGGCCCGGCACCTTACTCCTTTGCGCCACAGGCACCGCCCAGCAATAAATTTCTTCTTTCCCTCATTCCATCTTCCTAAAAGAAAACCAGTGTGGTTTAATCTGTTTTTATGGACCATCTGCTTCTATGGGGCTCATTTGGGTTGTAGTTTCCTCAATTTCTACCCCTTGCTTCAGATTCTCCAAGATCATCAAAATCTTGAACTCAGGGTTTGCCTTGCAAAATTGAAATCTTTGTGTCCTAGCCCATGCAAGCCTTTCCTGGAAAATAGGAAACTGTCATGATCATACATTTATATAGTTATGTTAAGCCACAAAATGACTTTAAACAACTATACTTTGTGAGGAGGCCTGGCACTTGGTATGATTTCAAACAGCTAAACTGTCTCACTCCTTTATATTCTTGGGTTCCATTCTACTCACAGCTTTAGAGATGACATTCCAGATTGAAATGTAGACTATCCTTTCAACATCCTCCTGAAAACTCAATTTTCAAGAGGACAGGTCTGAATTTTTCTTTCTGAGAACCAAAATGAGTTTAAAAAAAATAGTTTTTGGAAATAAAACTTGTTGAATATCTGGATAAAACAATACAAGAGTATTAACTAATATGCTGATTTTGCTATCTGTGAAAGATAAATCATGGTTCTGGATTCACGTACAAATCTAAAGAATGCACTGTTGTGGCTTTTCTTGAAAACTTTAAATAGATTACTACCTTCCCTATTCTAACTACTCAGCTATTCATCCCTCAAGTATTTCCTGTAACAAGCCCCTTACATTTTATTTATCCACATTTAAGAGCACTTCTCCTTTTTAATGAGACCACTTCAGTTAATTACTCTTCTCTTTCTTCTTCTTTTTACATAGATATAATTCAGAACCTAAGAGGGCCCATCCTGCCTAAGAGGTTGGATTTTATTATTCTTTTAAAAGGAGTCTCCTTGATTCCTTTATTGCTTTGATTTACTGCTCTCTAGTACATTTTGAATTATGCTATTACTAAGAGGCAGGAAATGTATTTTCCCTGGAAAAATATTTTCAGTTCTAGAAAAAAAGAGAAATAAGTATAAAGTGCAATTATTTTCTTAGGAAAACTCTGTGAAGTCAAGTAAAGACCTTTGTTAACTAAAGATGCCATCCATCCTTTTATAAAAGACTAAATTTAAATGAAAACGTTAGGAAGTTTCCAAATGTTTTCCACTGTATTTTTGAAGATCAGTGTAATAGTCTACAAAAAAATTAAGTTTACAAATGTCAACCAGGAATTAGCATTTGTAATCATTTTAAAAGGTCAAATTATACTGTCTTGGGTGGTGCCTGTGGCTCAAGGAGTGGGGCGTCAGCCCAATATACAGGAAGTGGCGGGTTCAAGCCCAGCCCTGGCCAAAAACTGCCCCCCAAAAAGAAAAAAAATTATACTGTCTTATTTGGGACATTCTTATATCATCATGATGACAGGCAATTAAAAAGATTAAAATCTTAGCAATTTTTTTTTCTACGGCCTGACCACCAATGCTTTCAATAGGCTACCAGGCTTTAATGAATAAATGCGGACTAGAAAAACAAAGCTTAATTTTACATTGAGAAAAAAATCATAGCTTTGACAGTTTATTTGACTCAATGGCTTTCTCCAACTACTAAAGGCATTTTCGTTTGGCACAATGGAAGTATCAAGAAGCTGTGAAGTCTTTCTAGAGACAAACTTGAGACCTTATTTATGATCATCTTCACTGTGTTAAAGATCCCTGCCAGCTAGGTGCAGTGGCTCACGTGTGTAATCCTAGCACTTTGGGAGGCCGAGATGGGTGGATTGTTTAAACCCTTTTTCTCTAAAAAAAAAAAATAGCCAGGCATCATGGCAGGTACCTGTAGTCCCAGCTACTTGGGAGGCTGAGGCAAGAGGATCACTTGAAGTCAAGACTTTGAGGTTGCTGTGAGCTATGATGCCATAGCACTCTACCCAGGATAACAAAATGTAATTCTGTCTCAAAAAAAAAGAAAGAAAGAAAAGAAAAAAGGAAAAGATTCCTCAAGATCCTGACTTTATGGTGTAGCTTTTATGATAAACCCAAAAGCCTCCATGTGGGCGAAGGCAGAAATAAAATGATACAGAGTAGATGGCAAAGACTTGTCTGTAATCCAAAGACAACTTCTCATTGGAAAAATGGCTCAAATTCTAAAGCCAGCCTTCCTTACACCCTGCCATTCTGAGCTCTGAGCTACCAAAAGGAAGAGGAGCTCCCTTCTGTGTGGTTTGGATTTCTCCCTTCAGGACCAGATCTGCTGGCCTAGGGAATTCATGAGTGTAGTTTGGTCACCAAGTGTCAGCTGATGGTAGAAACTTAATGTGAAAAATATACACAGCCAAGAGCACTTACCATTTCTGGATTCTCTGCAGCTAGCTTTACCATCTTTTCTGAGACCATCTTTTTCAAGCAGCTACTCAGCAAAAAAGCCTAATAAAGCCAGAAATAAAGAACTCTCTCAACGATAGAAATCTTCATTCTCTTCCTTACCGCCTTATAAAACAAAGCAGAGTTTGAGCTCTGCCCTCCAATAGGATGCTTTCTAGAATTTAGTTTGCATAGGATGCAATGAGCAAGTAACCATAAATTTTCTCAATTACACAGATATAGCTACAGTAAATTTTAAAAAGTCAAATTGAAAATGCCCAGGATCTCATTACTAATCTTTTTCCTCTTAGAACTCCCTCCCTTGCATCCTATGTTTTCTAGGATTTTAAAAACAGATCACGTTTTATGAGCAAAAACCAAAACTTATTTATTATAATTGAATAAACTGATGATCAATCATATATTTAGTTCTATACATATTTAAACCTATTATTAGGCATAAATGGTAACCTGTTTAAAAAAATATGTTAGCAGCTTATTGCTTTTACTGAACTAAAAAAAAAATCAGCTGTTTTTCTTCCCTTTCTCAGTATCTTTAATCCCTCTTTCAAGACTGATGGTTGCCTCCAGTGTCATCTGTGGCTTAATCATGATTGTTGGTGGTACCAAAACACATACAGCTAGAGATCTTGTACACAAAGGCTGGGTATCCTTGCTCCAGGCTCTTCACTCCAACTTCAAATTTAAGGTTCTCTATGATTTTCTCACTTGCTCCTTTTCCACTAATCCTTTGTCTCATCCTGCTCTTAATTCTTTTTTTTTTTTTTTTTGAGACAGAGCCTCAAGCTGTCCCCCCTGGGCAGAGTGCCGCGGCATTACAGCTCACAGCAACCTCCAACTCCTGGGCTCAAGCGAGTCTCCTGCCTCCGCCTCCCAAGTAGCTGGGACCACAGGCGCCCGCCACAACGCCCGGCTATTTTTTGGTTGCAGCCATCATTGTTGTTTGGCGGGTCTGGGCTGGGGATTCGAACCCACCACCTTAGGTGTACGTGGCTGGCACCTTAGCCGGTTGAGCTATAGGCGCCGAGCCCCTGCTCTTAATTCTTGACAGTTTTCTCCTTCGGTCCTACTAAAGTTTAAGACTTAAAGCTGAGGCTGCAGCATCCCAGCACAAGGCTGTGTCTAGGGATGGTCACTGCACTGGAGTGGATGATGGAAAGGAGGAAGAAGAGAGAGAAAAAACCCAGCTAGAGAGTAACCCATGTAGAAAGCTCTTGTAGGGAACAACATAGAAAGCAGAATTCAAGGGAGAAAGGGCTATATACAGATCTCAGAATTCGAGGGAGAAGGGCTCCATACAGGGTTATGAAGTATGATAGAAATTAATTTTATGTAAGGGAAAAGGAGGGAAGAAAGAAAAAAGGCTTGCCACCAATAAGGAAAAGAGTAACAGATACAGAGTTTATACATAAATTTTGACTCCCTGGCTTTGCTAAGAACTAGCCCGATTTGCCTGTGCATATATGTAACCTACATGAAACTAGAGAATGAAATAGTTAAACAACAAAACCCTGAGCTAATGCAGCCAGGAAGGATGTTTAATGGTATTAAACAAGATGCAGACCAATTCTGTATTCCCACACAAAGTACACAAGTATGGAGGCCGGAACTCTGCTATAAACCAGGTTAAGTTATGAAATACAAAGGGACTGAGCTTTTGTTTATAGGGCCTATAAAGGTTTTGGACTCAAAACCTTATTTGTGCTTGCAAAGCATACAAGTCACATCTCTGCCTTTTGCAAAAGTAGCCCTTGGGTATACATCAATAAAACTCACACTCCAAAGGAAATAAGACTTTATTAGGAATCCTTTGAAGGAAAGTTTATTGTACTTCTTTATAGTGGCTTAAACTCATTTGCTACTGAATAGATTAAAAAAAACATAATAAAATTTAACTGCGCTTAGCATTCAGTGGTGGGGGGTGGTTGGGGGAGGGCTGTTTCCACCAAAATCTTTCTGTGTCTGTCCAAGGGACTGTAAATCTTGCCTCAGCAAACCAAGCTACCATTCCCTAAGGATCTTTCACATTTAAAGAGAATCTAAGGCCTCATTTCTTTAACCTAGGATTTTGGTTTAGAACTTTGTGTTTTTCAGAGGACTTTCAAATCATGATCACAATTGCATTAGAAGCAGAGTGTTGAGGCTCGGCACCTGTGGCTCAAGCGGCTAAGGCGCCAGCCACATACACCTAAGGTGGTGGGTTCGAATCCCCAGCCCGGGCCCGCCAAACAACGACGGCTGCAACCAAAAAATGGCCGGGTGTTGTGGCGGGCGCCTGTAGTCCCAGCTACTTGGGAGGCTGA